CCCCCCGCTCGGCTGTCGTATAGACCACGCCCATGTCGCAGTGTGGCCGACGGCAGAAGTCGCGCCATCCGGGGGGGTTCGCGGTCTGGATGGCAATTGTGTGTGTGTGTTGACACACAAAAAAAAAATTATCAGCTCTACCTGAACCAATGGCTAAATACTTAGCCATAGTTAAAAGTTAGCTTCGCTGTGTTAAACTCCTTAGCAAACATGGGTATATTTTTTTTGCAACATAGCTTATAATACTTAGTTTGCATTAAGCTATTGTTTTACAGCTATACACTGTAAAAATTAGTTGTTAAAAAACAGCTCAGTTGTTGACCAACAGCTCAGTTGTTCGAGAACAACAGAAGTTGTTGAAAAACAACTACGTTTGTTGTCAATGCATTGTTAATATTGGACTATTGGGCACAGTTTTGTTTTTGCTGACTTTTTTTTATTTCTGTAACTGGACAACTTTTGCTGTTTTTTAACAACCGAATCTGTTGTACAGCAACACGAGTCAGTTAAAAACTTAACAACGAATTTGTTGTTAAGTGACAACAATTTTTTTACAGTGACAGCTAAAATTGTTTTTCGTGAGTGAACGTGCCAGCGGGTCGTCTGTCCCAGTGCGAAATGAATTTCAAACGATATCGAATCCATATCAGAACGATATCGTTTTCAAGTTTGTGACTTAGAACTGATACGAAAATGGGCCCTAAATCGACACTTTTCTGATGTCCGATATTGTTCTGATGTCAATTCGATATCCGCATTTCTCACTGGGGTAGATTCGTCAGTCACAATAATACATACATAAATGGCGGAAAGGACGAGGGACATACAGAAATTTCGGACTTACTATTTGAAAAAGTGCCTATAACTTGGAGGAAAAGAAGTCATGACAGAGCCCGACCCTGCCAAAACAATACATTTGCGAGGTGTTGTGCATGGGTGCCATAGCAACAACATGAGGAATTTCTGGAAACTTGATTTTTTTAAAGTCGGTATTGTTATCTTTATAATTAATTTATGTTTATCTCATTTAAGTAATTGTCACAAAAACATGTTTGTGCGAGGTTTCTTTCCCTAATGCATTCTCTTTCCCTGTCTGCTTTCAGAACACTTCCACATTTTCGTCGGGGACCTCAGTCCGGAGATAGAGACTCAAAACCTTCGGGAAGCCTTCACACCCTTTGGAGAGATATCGTGAGTATACGGCTCGCTCTGTGTGTGTGTGTGTGTGTGTGTGTGTGTGTGTGTGTGTGTGTGTGTGTGTGTGTGTGTGTGTGTGTGTGCGTGTGTGCCGACTTCCTCGCCTTCCCTTCTCCCTCTGCTACTTTCGGGACTTTGTATAGAGCAACTCCGCCCCTGAGTAGCAGTCGGCACGGCTCGAGTCTGTGCCCTCCTAACACGACACGCGCTGCGCCTGCTGTCGCGCGCCCCGCCCC